AAAAAAAAAAAAGAAAATAATTAATGGAAACCTTACCACTTAGGAAAAGCATATGCATTTTAATAATAGCAACATCCACATCCCTAGCCAAATTAGAGATCATTCCTTAAAGAATTTTCTTTCCAGAGTTCCAAAAGAAAGGATGCATAGAACCACAGATACGTACTTTACATCTTGATACAATTGTTTGTTTCCCTCCAAAAATAATTACAAAAAATGCCAACCATCTGGTAACCCAGTTATCAAAGGACAATTGCAGTGAAGAATTTTGAAAAGAACAAAGGGTCATACTTACATGTCTCTTGAAATCACCGTATTTTACTACTAGGCTCAAATTTAATACAATCACCCCCATATCCTCTTCTAAACTGTTTGGGTCTTCCAATTTTAAAATATGTTCAGTCGTTCTACAAGCAAAATACAACAAATAACATTAGCACTTATGGGCAGTACTAGATAGTCTTATAATGCATCGAGAGCTTACAGAAAAAGTCTCCTACCTCTGCATGAGAGTGAGACACGAGTTTTAAAAAGCACCAAATTCAGTAAAAATAACCCAACCATCTTCAGAGTAGGGGAACTGTTTGGCATTGCCTAATTCAACAGTTGGTTAATGGATTCTTTTACTGCCCAAATAAAATTTAAATACTTGTTTTATTTTTAGGTTAGGTAGGTTAATGAACCTGAATATTAACAGTTCAAAATCCAATACACATTTCAGAACACACTGTGGAAGATTTAATATCCGACTCATAGGTTTGGGAGAGAAGAGCTAAAATCATAGAAAAATTCACATTTTAAAGCACGCTTTCATTTATTCAGATTTTTTTTTTGTCATTTAATCTAAACAAATGTCATTTAACGTTATCTTGAGTTCCCTCTAAACTTCAAAATCACAATTAGAAGGTAAAAATACAGTACCTGTTAAGCTCAAGATCTTTGAGAATGACAAATGCAGAACCCATGAAATCAGATGTAGTTAAATCTCGATCATATACCTACAAAGAGGGAAGAGGCCAGTAACACATTAATAAGGTAAACCAACTGAATTTATCAAACTATTAATAAATGCAATAGGCTGGGAATTTTGAATTCAGTCTCCTAGGTCTAAAAAATAATTTGCATAGTGCAGTTAAGGAGGAATTAGGCCAAGCCGATGGTGAGAACAAAGATTATTCAGACTTGCCCATTTTGCCTACCACAGCCAGAACAACAGCAGAAAATACTCTTAAGGCAGTATTCATATGCATTAAAATGTTAATGCACAATGGACCGCTCTCTGTAGTTTAAAATGGTCTCTCATTAAAATTTAGTATTTTCCACGGTGAGCAGATCTGCCAATTAAATAGAAATTTGCTAAATATTCTATAGCAATCCCATCCTGCACTCAACTCATGCAGTTTTAACCCAGACGTTAGAGCAATTGATGCTTACAACCAGTAGCTTAAAGCTCTATTAAGTATAAAGTTATTCCTAATGAGAAAGGCTTCCCTACTTGTGGCCACTACACCGGCTGTAATAATTCTTCCACGTGCAGGAAGTTTAAATACAATCAATGGAGATATTATTTTCACTCTGATTTTCTGTGGAGTATATACCACTGATCTGAGAAAAACATACAGTTTCAACAAAGGGTATAAATAATCCCTTCCACACTAATATTTTTCACCCAGAGCTTAACAATAATAAAAGAATTTGGGGACATTGTCTTTTTAAGGGGGCAAAGATTGCTGAGATATCAACGTTTTAAACCAAAGGGCAGATTTGAAAGCCATCTGTGATTACCTTCACATGGAGCTTTTGATCAAGGCTTTGAATTGGAAGTACAACTATCTCATCCCAAACTGGGTTCAAGTTCTTATATATGACTTTACTTTTGTACAGCGTCTTTCCATTCAGCTTAAATTTCACATAGGGATCGCTTGTGCCTTTAAAAGAAAAGAAAAGGGAGCAAGACAGGTTTTAAAAATATACGTTAAAGCCCAGGATCTCCGTTAAGTAAAGATTCTTTCCACACTGCCCTGGCTCAAAGAATTTCACTGAGCACACCCAGGACAAATGTCTCCCTGTGCAGGGATTGAAGGCCCCAGAGGTGGAGAGGAGAGAAAAATGAAACAATTTGGGGTAAATGACTGACTCTTCTTTGCCTTTCGTGGTAGAATACAAATGGGCTCCTTGAGCTTTTTCTGTTTGGTTTCCTTCTGGGTAAGTCATCACTACACTACCCACAAAAATTCCAGAAACAAAATCCACCGGCACCAGCCGACGGTGTCAGGAGTCCTGGGAGAAACCCACCCCTCCTAAGAAGGGCAGCAAGTCCGTGAAAAGGGAAAGAAACCATTTTCAAACACTTGGCCAGATGGCTGACTCAACAGAACTCTGTACTTTCGAACATAATCATAATAAATAAATCTCTGAAACCACTGGTTCAAAAGATGGGGCCACAGGACGAAGACAAGAACTGGGGGCATACAGATTAAACTGACAAAGTTGCCATTCTTTGCCGTCTGCTGCACCTGCAGGAAAGCCAGAGAACACTGTCACACCAGCCAAGCCCTCAGCTGGCCTCAGGGCCGACACCCCTGACCCGCCCAGCTCCTCCCAGGGAGCTTTGAAACAGACGCCAAAAAGAAAGAATAATGTCCCTCCAGCTACGCTATCCAAAGCAGAAAGAAGGGCTGATGACGAACCCTCCTCCCCACTTCCAGAGCAGTCTGGGGTGGGGTGGGGGGGAGGCTGTAAACATAAACCGTGAATTCTGTGTTGTGCGTGTCTGTCACATGGCTGTAAGTACGCCATCATACTTGGGACATACTTGTGAATTAATACCCAGTGAATGGTGAAGAAAGAAGGCACCATCAGTGAGGGGAGAACTGGAGACCTGCTGATAATGCCACAAAAAAAGAAAAAAAAAATCTAATTTGAGGAGTTAGGATATTATAATTGACCGCGAAACAGACAATCATGAATAAGTGCACAAAGACCAACCTATATTCCCTGATACATATCCTAGGTGCCGCGGACGGTGCCCAACACAGGTCCCATATATTTATGGACATGAATTCCTGCTTTAAAGTCAAGCCAAAAGAGTCGAAGATATTATCTCAAAAATTAATTAGGCTACTCTGTTGCAAACTTTTACCAAATCATTAATACCTGTCCTTCATTACCTTAGGCTTTTATTTTCGTTAGCTCCTTTTTTTGCGGGGGGGGGTGGTTTCTATTTAGCTGCCATATTGAAAATGACTGAACACAAATGCAATACCTCCCCAATTATTCCAACAGAAAGAGATTTCCCTAGAAAGCAAGATAATATACATTGTTTAGAAGCCTTCATAGATTACCCAAGGTATAATCTGGGTGGTAGCCTTCCGGTATTGCAAGACTTCTAACTCTGAGACGAAGAAATGAAACCACACGCATACAAACACACGTATTCGACTCTCGCATTTTAAGTTTGGCAACCCAGGGACGGAAGCCCCCGGCAGTCTGTTTTAAAGACTGGGACACACACACACACGCCCAGTTTTCACTGGCAGCTCTGAACAGGACAGTAAAAAGGAATGCATTCACAGCCATTCAGTGGCCTAGTCACTAGTGAGTGAGCAATCTTCCGCCCACCCCCCCCCATTCCCCTTTATAGTACATGGAGAACACCTCTGGCAAGCCAGACTTTAACCGTCATTCTGATATATATATATTAAAAAAAAAAAAAAAGCGGGGGGAAAACTATAATAAAAAGAGGCCTTTAATTAAATGAAATTGCCACTCTGGGATCGGGCCTTCATGCTTGTCAGCGTGCTCTCAAAATAAACATCTCAAAACCGGGCCTCCGCAGTGTCACTTTCTCACAGGCAAAGCATCCTGGGTAATCCCCAGGCATCCTGACAGCTACATAATGTTCAAACGGTTTCACGGGTGAATGGCGTCAGTTGCGTGAAAGAAAATATTAATGTCTGGAATTAATAGAAAAGGGGACCAGGGTTTACAAAGCCAAACAAGGAAAGAGGGCATCAAGTTAGTGTGGCGTTAATTGTTAGGGAAAATTTGAGCAAGGGGGGGGGAGCACATTGTGATTTTTCTCCCGGAGCCTAAGTGCCTCACTGTCAGGGAAGTGACATCTCAACTAGGCAGGTTCTGAAAAGGGGTCGGCGGCTCAGGAATGCAACTCCCCGATTATACAAATGATGAGATGACACCTGAATGGGTGGACTTTCACCTTTTTCACTGGGAGCTTCACAAACAATGAGGCTCTGTGGGAGAAAGAGGGAGCGTGGCACTCTGGGAGGAGAAGAAAAAGCTACGAGGCCAGACGGGCGCCCGCGTCCTGGCGTGGCCCCCGGTTCTGCCATGTGGACCCGATGGGGGTCCCACACAACCTCGGATTTAGGAGAGCAAGGTGTTAAGCATCCAGGGCCTGAGTTCCATGCTGCCCTCCAAACACACAGGGGTTCGACGCTTGCCGACACAGACTAACAGCCGTTCGCTGGTCCTCCAAAAAATGCTACACCGATTTATACTCGTGACCACAATGTGTGGCCATCCTTACTTCTGCTCTTGCTTAATGACACGGTGATCTGTCAGGCCTGCTGACACAGCTCACATGCCACAAACGCTAACGGCTGACTTCAGAGCCCGGCTCGGTGCTAGGCACGATGGGGGGGGGGGGTCACCAAGGTCAATCAGTCCCAGAGCCTGCTTCAGTCCAGTCTCCTGCACCTGGTGGGTGGCAGACATACCAGAAATACAACGTAAGGCCCAAGAGGTGAGTGTCAAAACAGAACTGAACTCGGGGGTGATTCTAGCTCACAGGTGGAAAAGATTAGCTCCAGCTGGGGTGTCCGTGGAGGTTGAAAGAGGAGGTCCTGGTTGAGATACGGGTGGACTCGAACACACGGGGAAGGACTGAGGTCTCTTTAGCAGGGGCCACTAGCACTGAAGCTGGGGGAGCAGGGAGGAGACCAAAATGACAAGATCTGTGGGGTGCCAAGCAAGCATTTCAATCGATCTGGAAAAATAAGTGGAAAAAATATAATGAGAAATAAAGTTTAAAAGGCAGGTATGAGTCAGAGGCCAAAGTGTTTTAAAATAACAAAATAAGGAGTTTAATTTTGTTCTGTAAGAAATATAGGGTAGTTTTGTGTTTTGTGTTTTCTTTTTAAATTTCTTAACACACATATAAAATAAGCACTGGTCTCGGGAAGGTATGAAATGACAAGGACAGTCTCTACTCGCTCAGACTTTCTTCATTCCCATTCTTCAAATGGGCTGGTTTCATAGGTTTATTAAAGGAAAAAAAAATACAAGAAATGATTTTAACTCGAATGTAATCATCTTACATGCCTTGGACTTCATGCTTTCACAATTAAAACAATACAGTTTCACCAGGGTTTTTTGTTTGTTTGTTTGTTTTTTATAATCCGCTGCATAAATTATCATTACTTATGTAACCAGCCACCAAATAATGGGTATTTACATCACTTCCAATTTTTTTTTTTTTTTTTTACCAGTGCAAACAATACTATAATAAGTCTTCTTGTATGACTCTCTTGGAGTGCATGAGTATATTCAGAGGGAATTTTTAACTTTAGAACTGCTGGGCACATGAATATCCAAACCTTTTCTGGTCTGGATACACACTGTCACATTGTTCTTCCAAAGTTTGTCAAATTTACATTCCCACCAAGAGTATATGTTTTGTACTTGTTTCTTTGCATGCTCCCCAAAATTGGATGTTATATGCCTTTACTCTAAAAGAACAGCAGGTGGAAAAATAGAATCTTTATTTTTCTCTAATTTTGACATTTTGAGAAAAGCTTAGGATCTTTCATATTTTAGTGACCTACGTTTGTATTTCTTTGTCAGGGAAATTCACATCATATCATTTGCCCATTTTTCTAAGATCTCATGGTTATTTGCTTCAGGATTTGAATGAGTCTTTAATTATGGAATCAACCATTGGCTATAAATCTTGTCATAATTTGTTTATGCTTAAGCTATTTCTTGCAATAAGTTTTTTTTGTTTTGTTTTTATTTAGTCAAATTTACCAAAGTTTTATTTATGGCTTTGTAGTTTGACATTCTGCTCAGAAGAAATTTTCTTACTATAGGATTTTAAATTGGCTCAGCTATGTTTCCTTCCACTGATCTTGTAGTTTTTCATTTATTACACGTAAGTCCTTCGTCCATCTGGAATTGTTTCAGCGTGAGGAGGGAAGCAAAGTCAGGTTTAGGTATGAACAGGAGAGTAAAAATGATCAGAGCCTAGTTTTAGAAATATAAATCTGGCATTCACTTATAATGTAGGAGGCAGAAGAAACTGACGAAAGCAAGAAAAGCTTGTGGTTGAGATAAGGCCACCCTAGGGAGCTGGGAGCCAAGCAAGAAGCTGCACCTGGACCAAAGAGGAGGCAATCTGGGCTTCACCAACCATGCTCCATAGAACCTCACCTGGAGGGATGCTCCACAGAACCTCACCTGGAGGGATGCTCCATGAACTGAAAGGGTTAGTACATCAAAACCCACTGGGAGAAGCTGTTTACTACTTCCTTCCTTGGAATTTCGGTGTAGAGCAGAATACTGACCTCTGCTAAGAACAACGTTCAGATAACAACAATACCAACAGCTCAAAACTTTTCATCCCTGTATTTCAGAAAATTATTTCAACATAAAAATCATTTTACTAGGAGCATCTATGAACATAATATTAGATTCCACCAAATCAAAGCTCTAGAAAGTAAGATGTATGCCCAAAACTTGCCTAATGTGCATGATATAGGTATTAAAAATACGTGATCAATGAATGGATGACATTTGAAATAAGATGGCATGGGGATGAAAATCCCATAGTTTCCTTTTCATAACTTCCCTTTAGTAAAATCCCACTTCCTTATGCCTTACTATCTTCACCTGTTTATAAAAAATATAC